ATAAAGGCTGAAACATAGTTTTGCCCACTTGCGACCATGATCACTTAGAACTTACAACCACCATGGCTGCCAGTTGCATTGAACTGGTCGACCAGGAAAACAGGGGACATCTTGGCGTGATTTGGCAGGACAGCTCGCGCAAGGCGTGCCTTCCAACCGGGGTTCTTCAAGGATTCGAGGGTTTCACGGAACATCGTGTCTCTCTTCACACAATTTTCAGGGGTCGCTGGAATTCCCCGAATCAAGCATGCATCATGTTGCTGGTTTCCGCACCCCGAAATCTGCGAAGGGCTCCCAGGACGTTACGAGAGAACTTCCCTGCTTCCTTTCCTCGCTACCGGCATTTCTCAGAAGGAATGTGTGAGAATGCCGTGATTGGCCGGTCAACAGCTTGTAACTAATTTTACATGTTTCCACATTGTCCAAACAACATGTTCCACATGTTGTCCATTTGTCCACTATTTTCCATTTTTTCCCACTGATTCAGCCTTGGTTGACGTTGGAAGGGGAGCAACAAATTAAATTTTAGCAGCTAAGTGGATTTGGATCAACCACTAAACCACAATAAGATCAAACATGGGCAACATGTTTCCCAACCACAACCATGCAGCCATCCCCTCAAACCTCATTTACCACAAAGGGCCAGCGTCGAAAGCCCCAGCCTCAGGGTGTGCCGGAAATAAGCCACCGGGGAGCCTCCTTGCAGAAGAGAAGCTAACAAAACGTGGAGCCGAAAAAATAACGCGGGGAGGACGTCCGCGGAGAAGGGGATGTGGTCTTTGGGAGAGTTATGCTACTGCGTACTGGGGGAGTTGAGGTTTTGAGGTGCCTGTTGAACTGAGTGAGATTCTCCAAAAGCCTGGCTTCAACTTCGAGTAGTTCAAGGAAAACCAACAGACCTGCACTGCAAAGTTGGTGCCTCTTCTTTTGGGGAAATTGCTGGGGGAAGGGTTGTTGCTGGGCGGGTCTGAATCGCTGGACCTTGATGAAGTCTGCTTTTGACTAAGAAGCAAAGTGGAAGGGGCCCATGTTCAGAGGCCCCGTCATTTTTGTTGGACCCATGTGCAGCCCTTGAGGCCAAAACAGCCTTCAGAACGCTGCCGCAGACTCGTTTTCCCAAGAGAACAAACGGAAATGGGGGAATTGAGTGAGTCCCTGGTGGTTGAAATTTGGCGTTCCCCTTCAACTTCTCGTCCCCACAAATCCGGACATTTCGACCGAGCCTCATAACAAAGCTGGCTACAAATAACATATCCATTGACCGAGGGATGCTAAGGGGCCCTCTCAATGGACGTGGACCCCATTCTCCTTTCCATTCTTCAATCTCCTGTCCTCTGGCGAAGGGCGACAGAGGCGACAGAGTCGGGCTCCCCAGCGCCGGACTGGCAATCCAGTACAAACCACCCCATGCCCACTGCATGGCAATGTACGGCATCCAACATTTGGCTGCACCTCGAAATGTGGGGTCCATGGCATCCAATGGCCTTTCTGCGGCCTGGACAAAATTGAGAAAACCGAGCTTCGCAATCAAATATGCCCATCTAATTAGGGCAAAGACCCCAAAGCTTTGAGCAGGATGACACCTCACAAGCTCTGCGTGAATCCACCTGGTGCCAAGTGGATTTGAGGCCTCTCCGGTTGGGGAGAACAAGGGGCGTGGCATGGGCCGTTTCTCGCCATTTTCAGATGCGAAGTTGTTGCCCCGTTTTCTGCTTGGAGTTGTTGCCTCGTTTTGCGAAGAATACAAAAGTTGTCCAAGGTAAAAACCGAGTTGTCCGGGGGTTGACATACCTCACTTCCTGAGTGGAGGAGCGACAAACATGTTTACCACTAAAATGGTGTTCCCAGAACGTTTAATGTCCAGGAACTCAGGGAGTGACATACCCGGGGAAAAGACCAAAGCTATTTGGAGGGGTAATGGGTTGGGGGGGGGGGGTAAGGCTTCTTGATTCGTGTTCCGTCAGAGCAGTCTAAGTGGGAACAGTTTGGTGGACACCATTTTATCGGGTTCTGCCTAGCGTCATCTTCGGCGTTCCCCATATAAAGGACCTAGACAGATCCTCTTCGGGCCCCCGAGACATCTGAGCACTTGGTTGACGTTGGAAGGGGAGCAAAAATGTAATTTTTAGCAGCTAAATGTGGATTTCCCACTAAACCACAATAAGCAAAAATGGCAAATGCTTCCCAACAACAACCACCAGACTTCGGGAATCCATGTCCAAGAGAAACCACCTTCATGGCGGGTGGAACCGCTCGCGAAGTGTCCAGGGGTCTAACTTTGCAGGAGCTGCCCCTGCCCAAACAAAAATGTCACGTATCTGGAATATACGGAACAAAAACGAGTGATCTGACTCTGCTCCATATTGAGTCTACCCCCAAAACACACACATTTTTGCAGGAGGCCCCTTGACAGAAAGTGCAGAAAGGTCGACAAAGCGGGCTGAATTCTGGGAACTCCACACACAAAATTCTTAGGTAGGCTCGTAGGACAGGGTTCCCTGTGTTTCCCCTTGGGTGGTTCTCCTTCTTTTGTCAAATTTGAAGTAGCTTCCTTTTGCGTGATCAAAGAGAAAATCTGTGCTCCGTGCTTCTGAGGGTTCCCGCCCTGGTCTGGTTGTTCACGATCTCTTTGGGTCCAAATCCTGAAATTTGACACCTACCCCATGTAAAGCAGGTTCCTGAAACCCTCTGCGCCCTTCACCCACCTGGCTGCCCGCGGGTAGCCCAGGTCTCCTGCAAAGCTGTTGGTGGGGTTGTCTTGTTTTATTCCGACCCCCCGCCCAAAAAAAAACATAACCAAATCAAATAAAATTCTGAGTTGTTCAACAGCTGGAAGCAAAAAGGGTGCCTGTCCAAAAGGCTCAACCAACCAACCAACCAGCCAGCCAGCCAGCCAGGCAACCAACCAACCAATCAACCAACCAACCAACTAACCAACCAACCAACCAAGCAAGCAAGCGAGCAACTAAGCAAGAAACCACCCAACAAAGAAAACCAAGAACTGTTTTGTGAAGAGCAACTCAAATATGATACAACAAGCAAGCGAGCAGGCAAGCGAGCAAGCAAACAAGCAAACAAGCAAGAACCAGCCGACCGACCGACAGGGGAATGGGCAAAAGCTGGCACCCTGTGTTTGCTACTTGATTCTGGAGGGAAGCCTCCTCCAAAAGATTGACTAAACTATGTCCTGGATCGCCAGTTGCTGGTTTTTGTCCATCCACTTTACCCCAAAAACCAGGAACAGGGACCGAAAAAAGCAGCAACTTGGCTATCTAGGTCTCATCGTTTTGCGTACTACTCGTCCCAAAAACTCAAAAAGTGAAGTCAGCCAAAGTCTTCGACTCTCCCTCTCCTCGGCTCGGGCTCACAGTCATCCACACCTGAGACAAAATTGATGGTTTGCTCTTGTAAATGGGGGGTTTCCCTCATGGCCATCCCATGCAAAGGACCTTTGACCCACCCCCAAATGACTAAAGCAGGGGTGTTGGAATGTACTTCTGGGATGGCACTGGAAAATAGTACCCAAAGACTCATTCCCCACCCAAAGGTGCAATCCGGGATTGAATCTGCCATGCCATTGCATGCCACTCCATGCCAGGAATGGCATGGCATGGAGTGGCGTGAGGCGGCAAATTCGATTCAAGGCTCGATGGAGCAAAGTCCAAAACCTGCTCCTTCGGTCTAGCCACGGTCAAAGGCCGAGCTCCTTGCAAACAAAGGCAACCCGAACTCATCGCAAGGAATTGCCTTTGCTGCGAAATTGTTTTTTTAGTGGAGTTGCTTTTTGCTGTGTATTGGCCCCTCTACGCTGGCAATGGAAGAGTGTCAACGCGAGCACACGCCGCAACAAGTGCCAACGCGGAGTGCCTACGCAGACTTTTCTCGTGTAGGCAAAACATGCTGAACCAGCCTATGATGGATTTCTTGAAGAGCCTGCGCGGACTGACGCTTTCGTTTTCCCCAGCAGAATTGCCCATGCGATGCCCCCGCGGCATGAAGAAAGTTTGAGTCAATCAGTCAATCAGTCAATCAGTCAATCAACCAACCAACCAATCAACCAATCAACCAATGAAAGTTCCCTCCAACATATACATGCTCATTGCGGCCGTTGCATTTCTATGCGTAGGTCCAGCGCCAGCCGCAAGAATGTCATGACACATGTCAGTTGCTCACCATGGTCTTGCGGCTCTCCCTGCTGCTCTAAATCACCCAAAATGCCACCTTGTGGAAACAAACACCTGCGTAACCCCTGCTCAGTCGGGTAAATGGAAACTACCCTAGAAACCTTAACACCTAAGGCAACAATCCTTTTGAAGCTGTTAAACCGCCCAAGGCGATTTCCTGATTTGCGCGTGTGAAGATCTCTGGAAAACAGCACAAGGCTCAACTGTTATTTAAATCTCACGAAACTGCAGGCTAAAAACGCGACTTTCTCCCGAAGCGCGACTGTCTCCCGAAGGTGTCTTCCAACCCCCCGCTCCTCTTCTGGGTAAAATACATGCATCCCGTCCCACAAGATTTCTCGCTTTAAGCACTCCACCAAAGAAAGAGGTCAAGCAAGCTTGGCCCTTTCAGACGATGCTGGACTTGGTCAAAACGACCCCCTCCAAAAATGGTTATCTAAACTGTTTCCTTGATGAAAGGGTCAAACACAGTTTTCTTGTTGAAGGTCGCGCCGAATAGGAACACCGAACACGCGCTTCGCCCAATGTGTTTTTCTCTCTTCAAACCGCCGATCCAGAGGTCTGGCGGTCACGTGCGCAGGTGAGCGCTCGGCCGAAACTCTGCGCTTTGCACAGTGGAGGGTTCCAGGAGTGATGCCCCGCAGAAGGTAAGCATCTCAGCGTCATGACTGGGCCACTTAGAGCCCCCTGCGAAAAGCTGGCTGTTTTTCCGGCTAAAGGGATCAGAAAGGTAAGTTGACATCTGGCAATGATGAATACCGCGCCGGGAGCTCACTCCGGACCCTCACTAGTTGCTTCGACTCACACATCCCTCCATCATTTGCCGGGCCTGAGCCGATTTTGGCGAGCCCTCGCTCCAAATGGATTGTCTGGGTTCCCTTCAAAACAAGCCAACAAAAGTCAGTTTCAACCAGAAATCAAAGCCAAGTGAATACGACTGTTGATTAGGTACCCGTTGGACATCATTTAGGTGATCTATATCCCCCAACCACTTTTAAGGGTCCCCATTGAACTTGCTAGCCGAATAACTTCACACAAAGCTCAAGCTCAAAGAGAAAGGTTCGGGGCAACTCAAGGCCATCAACTAATTCTGTTCGGCGGCAAAAGTCGCCTGATGGAAAAACACCCAGCAACTCCCAGCTGTGGTCTCCCTTTGATTAATGCTGACTGGATCTCAGGGGTCCAAAGCCTACGGGACTTTCCGCGGTCCGAGTCTGGTGAAATCCAGTACTCAGTGGGGGCTTGGGCCATTTTTAGTGGGGCCACCAAACAAAAAGGGAAAAAGGGCGCCACTGAACTGAGAGTAACTGGACATCCTGAAAACTTTGTGGTTCTCACGTCGCAAACATTGTGACTGTCTAAATATTCAACTCGTGTCACGCCAGCTGTTTGCTCGAAACAATCTACGACAACTCTGCACTGTCCAAAGGGTCAATGTTTCGTAGCGCGGCAGCTGGTTTAGATTGGTGTTGTCCATTGACCGCCATCTGTTCTACCAAAAGGACGCCTATGGTTGCGAGCCCTTCAGCTTGTTTTTGGACAGCTACCCAAAACAGGTGCGCTTTTAGTGTGCATCTAGAAGTCTGGGCCTCGCCATGACATTTGCCAGCTGAGCATCCCCCATACTGATTGTACAGGGGGAGCCTCGACAGGATCCTGACCCCTGGTCCTTGCCATGCCTCTGAATCAGATACATCTTGTTGCACATCGCACTCGATGGATTTGGAGATTCTTGTCGATGATGCTGGGTGTTTCTATGTATTGCTTGGAGAATCCTGAGAGCTCTTGAACAAACAAGGTCTAAATGGAACCCATCCATTTCCACTCAAACCAACCTAAACTCGGTTGTTTTCTGCTCCCCTGCTAAATGTGAATAACTTTTGGTGGCTTGATGGAAAAACACCCATGAGTTGGCAAAAAGTTAAAGTCCTAACATTTGTAACATCCAAGCAAAATGCACCAAAGTAAAACAGACGCTTATGCTCGCAATCCCTCCCGATTTTGGGGCCCAGCCGTGACGGCGCATCTAGGCCAGTGCGGATCTGGCGAAGGATGGGTTCGAAACCCCACTTCCGCGACTGTTGTTTTTTCTTTTTCTTCCGTTTCTGAGGGGGGGTTTGGGGTTCCCATTTCCACGACTGTCTTTTTCCTTTTTTTTCTTCTCGTTTTTGAGGGTTTGATCACAACACGGCTAGGGGTAACAGAAATCAGCCAGGAATTGGACCGCAGGTTCTAGTCCTGGTGTCCATTTGCCAGGCTTCAATTTCGTGTTCCTGTTTTGGATCCACTCCCACGCTGGAAGAAACTGGTGTATGGGCAACCCTAAGCTCCAATTGCAGGAGAAAATAAGCTCAGGTGATATCCCCAACAGCATGTGGAACCCTGGTGGAACCCTGGTGGAACCCTGCTGGAACCCTGGTGGAACCCTGGTGGAACTCTGGTGGAACCCTGGTGGATCCCTGGTGGAACCTTACCTCAGCGCCGCCCCGGACCACCCCGGAGCCTATCTGGGCTGAGACCCCAAAGCTTTCAGCTGTTGGGGGAAAAAAAGAGAAACAAGGCGCGCCGGCAAGTACGTTGGCACTTGCTGTTCATCAGTCCGCAGTTGCCCTGCGAAAACTCCGGTCCAATATGTTGTCTTTTTGTCTAATCCACAGACATCCCTCCCACAGTTAATTCGTTGGCGGAGTAAAAACGTGACTGTTATCGGGGTCTCTGAATCAGTGGAACAAAGGGACCATAAAGCTGGATATGGGTTTGTTCTTTTTTGGGGGACCCTCTTCTGGTTGGTTTTTAAGGGAACCAAACAGGAAAACCACCTTTTTGGGTGGTGCACTAAAGAAAGACACACTCATATTTTGAAGGGACCCTCTCTCCCTAAATCCGGCCATCTTGCCTTGTACAACCGCCCCCCCTTGCCCCCTGCTCCCTGCCTCACAAACCTGGCATAAAACGGGTCTATCCGAAACCCATGGTAAAGCTAACCTTACTCTAACCGTATGATTGTTTTAGCCACAGATTCAAATAAATATTTCAACACACCTCAGTGGCTGCGTAAAAATGTTTATAACCTCCAACCCGCGAACTCTCCCCGCGGTGTTTTTGTGGGGGTCGTGGTCGACCTCCGGGCAAAAAGCGGGCGCCTCCATGATGGTGTTCTGCTTCACCGCTCCCGTGTTCCTGGCGTTCGGGTTGTTGATGCGAAGCGAGGAAGCGATGCTAGGCGCAAACAGCTGGGTTGCACCCAAGATACATGGCGGTGGTGGTCCAAAATGCAGTAACCCCAAAACGGATTCAAACCTGAGGTCTTCCTGGCGATTTGATTTGGACCCAGACCTAGATGGTTACAACGCTAGGCCTTGCTACCCCTATGCAAGGAACATAATAAGCTCAGGCGATATCCCCAACAGCACCACACCCTCCCAGAATCGAATCCTCGCGGAACGCACCGCGACCGGTCTGAGGATGCCGTGTTGTAACTTTGTAAAGCAAAGCTAAGAGTGACAGCGCAATCGCGCCCTGCGCAATCGGGGCCCGATCGGGGCCCGACGGTGCAATCGGGGCCCGATCGGGGCCCGACGGTGCAATCGGGGCCCGAGCGGGGCCCGACGGCGCAATCGGGCCCCGAGCGGGGCGCGATGTGTCCCGTGGTGCAAGAGGGCTCCCACCAACCCCAGCCACATATTATAGCTCAACGCCGGTTTTGTGTATCCAGCAAAACTAGGCCATGCCAGCTTGGTACAGTTGACGCGGCCCGACTGGCGCAATCGCGGCCCGATCGGGGCCCGACGGCGCAATCGGGGCCCGATCGGGGCCCGACAATGCAATCGGTGCCCGACGCCGCAATCGGGCCCCGACCGGCAAGCGGGCTGCCACCAACCCCAGCCACATATTATAGCTCAACGCCGGTTTTTTGTATCCAGCAAAACTAGGCCATGCCAGCTTGTGGTACAGTTGACGCGGCCCGACTGAGTCCGGCCCCGATCGGGGCCCGACGGCGCAATCGGGCCCGATCGGGCCCCGACGGTGCAATCGGGCCCCGACGGCGCATTGCCCGACCTGTGCCCGGTGAACCTCGCACACTTTTGTCAGGGCTGCCCCATAGCTTTTGCAGAACCTGGTGGAAACCTCGTGGAGCGTAATGCCAAGCATTTACTCTGCCGCACCGTGAGAGTCCCGCAGCAACGTGATTTGATTTGCAACAAAGCCAACACTTCGGGCCGCACTGCCTGAAGAAGTGAGCAAGTGACAAAACATTGAAAGTGTGCTGAGAACCATGAACTTCGGTTTTGCTTAGTGTTCCGCCCATGAGCGAGGCGATCTTCTGAGCAAACGACGGGCGCACGACATATTGTTTTTCTTTCGGGCAAACCATGGAACCTTGCGAAACCTTTGTGGAACCTTTTGGCGCCTTGTGGAACCCTTGTGAGGGGAAGGGGCGCGAGTCAGCTTAGTCAGCTTTGGGGGGGTGTGCAGCGCAAAGGGGAAGGGGCGCGAGTCAGCTTAGTCAGCTTTGGGGGAGGTGTGAAGGGGAAGGGGCGCGAGTCAGCTTAGTCAGCTTTGGGGGGGCGCAAAGAGGAAGGGGCGCGAGTCGTTCCAGCATGGTTTTACCAGGTTCTGCGAGGGTGGTTTGCCCTGCAAGGGTGGTTTGCCCTGGGGGGTGGTCCGGGGTGGTTTGAGGTAAGGTTCCACAAGATTTCTCCACCAGTGTTCCGCCAGTGTTCCACCAGTGTTCCACCAAATTCTGCGAGGGCTGCAGGGTGGTCCGAGAAGGTTCCACAAGGGTTCCGCCAAAGGTTCCACCGCTGTTACCCTGGTGGAACCCTGTGTGGAACCCTCGTCTTGTGGAACCTTACATCAAACCTTTCAGAACCTGACCCTGCTGGAACCTTGCCTCAAACCACCCCGGACCACCGCTGCCCTTGGTGGAACCGTGGTGGAACCCTGGTAGAAGCCTGGTGGAACCTTGCCTCAAACCACCCCGGATCACCCCACAGCCCTCGCAGAACCTTGGAACGCGGTGGAACTTTCGTGGAACCTTACCTCAAACCACCCCAGACCATCCCGCAGCCCTTGCAGGACCTGGTGGAACCCTGTGTGGAACCCTCGTCTCGTGGAACCTTACATCAAACCACCCCGGACCACCTCGCAGAACCTGGCGGAACCTTGCCTCAGACCACCCGGGACCACCCCGCAGCCCTTGCAGAACCTGGTGGAACGCTGGTGGAACTTTCGTGGAACCTTACCTCAAACCACCCCAGACTAGGGACCACCTCGCAGAACCTGGTGGAACCTTGCCTCAGACCACCCGGGACCACCCCGCAGCCCTTGCAGAACCTGGTGGAACGCTGGTGGAACTTTCGTGGAACCTTACCTCAAACCACCCCAGACTATCGCAGGACCCCTGTGTGGAACCCTCGTCTCGTGGAACCTTACATCAAACCACCACCTCGCAGAACCTGGTAAAACCCCGGATCACCCCGCTGCCCTCGCAGAACCTGGTGGAACCCTAGTGGAACCCTGGTGGAACCCTGGTGCAACCCTGGTGGGACCTTGCCTCAAACCACCCCAGACCACCCCGCAGCCCTTGCAGAACCTGGTGGAACCCTGGTAGAACCCTGGTGGAACCCTTGCCTCAAACCACCCCGGACCACCCCCAGAACCTGGTAGAACTCTGGTGGAACCGTGGTGGAACCCTGGTAGAACCCTGGTGGAACCTTGCCCCGGACCACCCCGCAGCCCTCGCAGAACCTGGTGGAACCCTGGTAAAACCGTGGTGGAACCCTGGTGGAACCCTGGTGGAACCCTGGTGGAACCTTGCCTCAAACCACCCCGGACCACCCCGCAGCCCTCGCAGAACCTGGTGGAACCCGTGGTGGAACCTTGGTGGAACCCTGGTGCAACCTTGCCTCAAACCACCCCGGACCACCCCGCAGCCCTCGCAGAACCTGGTGGAACTTTGGTGGAACCCTGGTGGAACCCTGGTGGAACCCTCGTGGAACCTTACCTCAAACCACCCCGGACCACCCCGCAGCCCTCGCAGAACCTGGTGGAACTCTGGTGGAACCCTCGTGGAACCGTCGTGGAACCTTACCTCAGGGCTGCCCCGGACCACCCCGGACCCTATCTGGGCTGAGACCCCAAAGCTTTCAGCTGTTGGGGAAAAATGCAGTTGCACTGAACGAAAGCACAGAAAATGCATGCCAACAGGTTTCCCCAGTATTGGAAACAACGACATGGCAGGGGCAAAATAGCGAGTCGCTCGCAAGTTCCGCGTAGCACCGGAGAGTGTCACGATTCCGTTTGACCCACTTGGAGCAATTGCTGGGCAAATCTTCAACCAGCAATCTGGCATTCTCCTCAAAGTTGCTGATCATTCTGGGCAAATCATAACTCACCAACCGAAAACAAGAAGTGGATCCCCATGATAGAGAAACCTTCAACGTCGCAAGCCACAACCCGAAAGGTGACCTCCCCCAAATCATCTGCATGGAATTTGCATGGCAAAGCGGATTGGAGAAGCGGCCCCTTTTTGGGTTGACGCAAATTGGAACCCCTCGACCCGTTGTTTTGCGGAATCCCTCATTTTTACGAGTTCCGTGGAATCGCCCCTGAACCGTAGGGGTACCAAGGGGGCCAAAGAGTCTGTATGCTTGAATTTCAAGCTTCTGACCCCTAGCAGGGATCCGGATGCATTATACACCTGAACATTGCAACTTGTAAATGGTGGTGTCCATTTCTTTATTTTGGTGTTGAAAAAGCCACATGTTTCAAATGGGTGCAAAATGAATTTCTTTTCAGGAGCTGACCCCTAGGAGCTCATGGTTCCAACTCGCGCTCTCAGAAACTGCCCGAATCGCGCCTCCCGTACACGCTCATCGCCGGCACCTGCACGACTGCCGAAACCATCGAGGCGGGTGTTGGTAAAGCTCGGCGCAAATCGCCTTTGCCAGCAGAAATCAGAGGATCCAAGCAGGTATCCTGCCAAGCTTAGATGTGTAAACGCTGATTTGGCAGCACACTTTTGTTGCTTGATCCCAAGGGTACCCTGCGGGGACGTCATGTCCATGTGAAACTAAACTCCGCTGCTGCTTCGGGCTCCGCCGCACAGCTTGCACGCTCGCTTGGCGTACAGCGGCCTCCCATTCACCCCTCTGCACATGGGGTCCTGGTGATAGCAATCACCGCATGAGGTGATCAAGATCTCACCTGGCCTAGCGCGTCTGTTCCTAGCTTGCCGCTCAGAAGATACCCGCTGTGAGGCGAACACCTCGTGGTTGTACATGATCGTAGGAGTCGTCTCCTCGCCAGTTGAGCTGCTGGCCTGCTCAGATGGCTGTTGAGCTTGCACAGACGCCGTCCAAGTCAAACTGCGCCTGACCCATTTCAGGAACTCTTCAATCACTTGTAGTGCCACATAGCCACCCAGGAGCATGAGTATGAAGTAGAGCGAATCTCGTAGATCTTCGGGATCTTTTCCTTGGGCTCGGGCTCCTGGAATCATCATCGCTGCACATAGCAAAGGTCGCGCACTCAGCGCAGCACATGCTGTGGCCCCAAATGCCTGCAAAATGGGCCTTCCCTCCAGAACTTCCTTCTTGACCTTGTCATTCGGCCTTGTACAGGTCCTCCTCGCTGATCTCCGCCAAAGTGGGTAGTCCTTGAAGAGGTGTGTGAGGCACTCCTCGATGTCCATTGCATCGACGAATGCATTGGCGTAGTTTGAAGTTGGCCTCCAGGCCCGTTGACTTCAGAACCGGTTGTCGATGCTCATCAACTGCGCCAAAGGCACACTGATCGGTGCGCTTTGCGGTGTGATATCCCGGAAGGTGTTGGTTGTGAATCATGAGGCTTTCTCTCCACATTGCAGAGCTCCAAGGCTGTTCCATCACGTATCCTCTGCCACGATTGGCCTGTTCCGTGATGAGTCCATGCAGGAAACGTAGGGCTGGTTGTTCCTTAGCACGATCTTGTAGTAGCTGTTGTCGATCTCTCCTCGAAGATGAGACACTGTAGTACTTGCACCTTGGAGACACGAGGATCACATCGGGTTCGAAATGCTCGTAGGCCTGCCACAGCATCTCTTGATGTTGAGGAAGTCCAATGTCCCAGCCGTACCGGAAATCGATGGGAAAGCCAACCATCAGCCCTGCTAGAGCGCATACCAGACTGATCCAGAGCATAGCTCCCAGCAGTTCCATCTGACCTTGTTCTTCCTGTTCTTCTGGTCATTGAGCCATTGGGGAAACTGCTCTGGTCTCACCGCACGTCTGTTGGTCCAAGTGTAGAACTCTTCAGGCATCGCTTTGTAGTCCTTGTCCAGCGCCTCGGTGATGTGGTCCGGGAGGACATCTCCTTCATAAAGAGGGAGACAACTGTCTCTGGTGAGGTAGACCTGAGAGTTCTTCTTCTTGGAGAAGTTGACACCACTGTTGTCCTGATCGCCCTGCTGATGACAACAGGTATGACTTTTGGAGGGTTCTGAATCTGGAACTGGAGCCTCTGAGCGCACCTTGAACTGGGTGGTACCCTTCCACGAATAGGTTGTTGTCTGATGATCGGTGCGCCATCTGTCTATGATTTCGCTGGCTGGCGTAGCCCCGTCAGTCGGAATCAGCTCCGTCACGCGAACCTCATCCAGGGAGTTCGGGTCCGTGCCTGGGGGCATATCAGGAGCGTCTTCAGGTCTGAACAGAGCTTGTCGCTCACGAACATGAACTCTGGTCACCATAGCTTGCCCTTCATGGAAACGAATCTCCCAGTACTGGGATAGGGTCGTACTTACGCTGGAGTTGTAAGTGACTTAGCACTTAGCTTGGACTTATAAGTAACTTATCTTGAACTTAGAAAAGAGGTTTTTCTAAGTCCGCTAAGTTCATTCTAAGTTCATTGAGTTTGCAAACACATGCGTTTTGAAGCATGGCAGTGATGAAGCATTACGCGCTGGAAATCACACATTTTCGTGTGACTCAACGCAGCAGGGCAGGCGCGCGCGCGCATGCAGTTTACGCTGTTTGTTTGCGCTGCTTCGCACGCTTGGCTCGATGGAGCCGGAGCATTCTTTGCACTGATTGACTCGGTTTAATTTTGTTGTCCAATAATCGTTTCTATAGCGGTGTCTCCGCTGGCGGCCGGTCCGCCTTCATATAGTCGCATGAGGTGGTTTCTCCGCCGGCGGCCGGTCCGCCCATTTTGCTTTTCTCGTTTGGTGATATATCATTGCAGCGGTGGTTCCGCTGGCGGCCGGTCCGCCAAGCTTTTTTTGCCACGTTCATTTTCATTTCGAGATGGCACTTGAAGCGGTTGTCCGCTGGCGGCTGGTCCGCCCAGGAATTGTTCGGCGTGATTTTTATTTCGAGATGGCACTTGAAGCGGTGGTCTGATGGCACCTTGCGATTTTTTGCATGTTTGGATTGTGAGTGCGCGGATGAAAGGCTGCAAGACTCAACCAAGGCTCCAGAATCCAGACTGCTGACTGACTGCAAACTCCACACTCCAGACTGCAGACTCCAGACTGCAGACTCCAAACTGCAGACTCCAGACGGCAAACTCCAGACCCCAGACTGCAGACTCCAGACTGCAGACTCCAGACTGCAGACTCCAAACTGCAGACTCCGGACTGCGAACTCCAAACTCCAGACTGCAGACTCCAGACTGCAGACTTCAGACTGCAAACTCCAGACTCCAGACTGCAGACTCCAGACTGCAAACTCCAGGCTCCAGAGTGCAAACTCCAGACTCCAAACTGCAGACTCCAGACTGCAGACTCCAGACTGCAGACTGCAGACTCCAGACTGCAGACTCCAGACTGCAAACTCCAGACTCCCGATGCAGACTCCAGACTCCAGACTGCCAACTCCAGAATCAAGACTGCAGACTCCAGGCTCCAGAGTGCAAACTCCACAGACAGACTGCAGACTCCAGACTCCAGACTCCAGACTGCAGACTCCAGACTCCAGACTCCAGGCTGCAGACTCCAGACTGCAGACTCCAGACTGCAGACTCCAGACTGCAGACTCCAGACTCCTGACTCCAGAATTCACAGTCCAGACCCCAGAATCCAGCATCCAGACAGCCCCGCCCCAAAGCCCGGAAAGGCCGGTGCAGTTTTTTCGAACTTAACAAAACTTAACTTAACTTAACCTGGGCGGGTCGTGTGGAGCCGTGGAGTCCCTATTGTTACTCAATCAACTTAACTGCCAAACTTTCCCCGTGAGGCCCAGTTGCGTCACCACGACTTAACATAACTTAACTTGGCCCCGTGGCCGAATTCCACCACAAAATGATCAGGATCCTGGAGCCAGGAGTCATTGTGTCTGGAATCTGGAATCTCGAGTCTGCAGTCTGGATTCTGGAGTTGGCAGTCTGGACTCTGCAGCCTGGAGTCTGCAGTCTGGAGTCTGCAGTCTGGAGTTTGCAGTCTGGAGTCTGGAGTTTGCAGTCTGGAGTCTGCAGTTTGCAGTCTGGAGTGTGGAGTTTGCAGTCAGCAGTCTGGATTCTGGAGCAAAAAATCGCAAGGTGCCATCAGACCACCGCTTCAAGTGCCATCTCGAAATAAAAATCACGCCGAACAATTCCTGGGCGGACCAGCCGCCAGCGGACAACCGCTTCAAGTGCCATCTCGAAATGAAAATGAACGTGGCAAAAAAAGCTTGGCGGACCGGCCGCCAGCGGAACCACCGCTACAATGATATATCATCAAACGAGAAAAGCAAAATGGGCGGACCGGCCGCCGGCGGAGAAACCACCCCATGCGACTATATGAAGGCGGACCGGCCGCCAGCGGAGACACCGCTATAGAAACGATTATTGGACAACAAAATTAAACCGAGTCAATCAGTGCAAAAAATGCTCCGGCTCCATCGAGCCAAGCGTGCGAAGCAGCGCGAACAAACAGCGTAAACTGCATGCGCGATGGCTCACTGCGCGGTCCTGCCGCGATGGCTCACTGCGCGGTCCTGCCGCGATGGTCGCTGCGCGGTCCTGCCGCGATGGTCGTTGCGCGGTCCTGCCGCGATGGTCGCTGCGCGGTCCTGCCGCGATGGTCGCTGCGCGGTCCTGCCGCGATGGTCGCTGCGCGGTCCTGCCGCGATGGCTCGCTGCGCGGTCCTGCCGCGATGGCTCACTGCGCGGTCCTGCCGCGATGGTCGCTGCGCGGTCCTGCCGCGATGTGTTTTCCAAACATGGAAGCGGCCCCGCCGCCGCTACGCCGTGTTCCGCCCTGCGCGGTCTAGCCGGGAGCGACCGTACGTCTCGAAAAATGATGCGCGCGCGCGTAGTCCGGTGTCAGGCTTTCTCTCTCGTTCAGCGATGTGGTCCGCAACATGTCAGGGGTAGCGCACGCGTGCTTTTTCGCACGCAGGCAGACACGTAGACTCAGCGAGGTAGACGCGTTTGGGACATTGCTTCGCAAGCGCTGAATGACCGAAGGCTGTTTTCCTCAAATGGTGCTAAAAAGCTAAGTCCCAGCTAAGTTCATTCTAAGTCCCGGCACCCGGAACTTAGCTCGAACTTATAAGTGGGCCTATCTAAGTTAAACATAGACAAGTAACTTATAACTATCCTCGGACTTAGCAAACTTATAAGTCCACTTGTCCCACGTTATGAGTCCACTTGTAGTAACTTATAACTCAAGTTATAAGTACGACCCTATCCCAGTAGTCCTCGTGCTCTTCTTCAGCATGGTAGATCTTTCCGGCTCCTGAAGGAGCATTCGAGATGTGTGATGGTAGTCGTGCGTGAGGATCATCTTCACAGTTCTCAGCTGCCACCAGTAGCTGTTCGCTTTCCTGTTGAGTGTGGTGTGTAGCAGCTGAGCTCCGCTTCTGCTCCGGGTCCGCCGCATCCAGCCTCTTCTGCCAGAAGACATAGCTGTGATCGCTCCATCGGGATTGAGATACCTCCGAGACCTTCATCAAGTAGTTCCGCACTTCTTCTCGAGGAAGATCTTGATGAGGTTGCTAGAAGAAAATGCCCGGAATCGGTCATCAGCAAGCGAAAGAGCTCCATCTCGGATGGCTCCACTTTGTCGTTCCACAAGGTGAGGAGGCCATCCTTGTTTGGCCGAGGGGCCAAGCATAGCCACCGGAAGCGATACCTTTCCAAGTGCTTTGTTCGCTGTTCCACTGATGCCGGTGACGGAGGCGTTGGAGGTGGACCAACTGATCTTCTCTTTGTCCTGGGGCATGAGACAATTGTTCACAATGTCCTTCAAGGTGTCCGTTCCGACTAAACCTGATGCTGCACCTGGGTCGATCAAAAGACCGTGTCTCTCTTTGCCATGCACCGTGTGGTAGCTGGACATTGAGGTGTGGAGTGTCGTGGCAAAAGCAAGGCCTTTGTTCGGCATTCGAGGATCTGTTTCACCATCATCATGAGCCGCCGAAGAATAGGATGTCTTCCACTGGAGAAGCTCTTCAGACATGTTCTTGTCAGGCTTCAACAATGGCTTAGGCTTCGTGGTAGCCGGTGTCTGAGGCTTCGAAGGGGAGAAGTTCAATCCTTGTTGAAGATGAAGAGCTTGGCGTTCATAAGGCTCCAGGAAGTAGGAGTGCTTGGATTTCCCCTTGCCCTTGCCTTTGCCCTTGAAAGATCTTGAAAGAGGGTCGGTACTTGCCTTTGCCCTTTCCAAAGGACTTGCCAAAGGACTTGCCGAAGGACTTGCCTTTACCGAACTTGCCCTTGGACTTGCCGACCTTTCCTTTGTCCTTGCCCTTGCCGGTGTTCATGGGGCATTGATCTGCCCAGTGCCACTTAGACCCACAAATGAAGCATCCCGAGCTTTTGCCTTTCTGGTAGTAGTCCTCGCTGTCCGGCATCAGCTCCTCATCGCCATAGGTCTGTTCGCCTTCTGCTTCTTCATCCTGATGAGTGGATGCTTCAGATGGCCAATTGGTCTCATCTTCTGTCGGGTAGGTGTAGCTGTCGGGCCAGTCGCTTTCCCAACTCATCCATTCTTGTTCTCCGTAGTAGCTCCAGGGGTCTTCTTGCCAGTCCTCGTAGTATGATGGAATCCATTCCGAGGACCATGTCGAGGGGGACCAGGATGGGTCGTTCTCTTCCTCCTCGTCGTAGGTCTCGTTCTGTGCAGAGTCACCTCGACTACTGAGGCGTAGCGAGAGAGTCCTGGCCTCAGCAAATCTCGCCAGATCTCCGTGAATCTGACTGAAGCTTGATGTCTTCGATGAGCTTATTGGGCATGCCGCTGTTGCGGAAGAAGAGGAACGTCTTCGCCACGTCATTGATGTCCAAACCAGCTCTCATCTGAGCTTCTTCGTAGCGAAGATCCCATTCGGCGGCATACTCCTGAAGGCTCAAACGTCCACGCTTTAACTTGAAGAACTGCTCCAGGCTCACGGTGGTCATCTCCTGATCTGATTGACCAAAAGCTTCTCTGAGGGCGACGGCCAAGGCCTGCATGCCGCTCGGCACATGGTGCTGCAGGATCACCTGAGGGTTGTTCGGATCCCGAACCTCGTCCACTGACAAGCGGACCAAAGCAGCATCTCCAACGTCCACTTGGCCGTCCGGCCTGGGAAGCCGAAGCGATAGCGCTATCTTCTGCGCTCGGCCTCCAAGGCGCCCAGCAACCAAAGGACCCACGCTCTCATCAGGGCCATCATAGACCCGGTACCAGAGCTTCAACTTCTCAAAGAACAAGCGCAGCGGGTAGTCCGGAAGTCCTGGACTCCATCCAGGTGGCACATCTCTCCGATACTCCGTGATTGGAATGCCACCAGTGTTGGCCTGAGCCATGACGGCAACAAAGAAGCAAGGCGAAGAGGCCAACCAAGATGTCCGCCCAGTGACCTTACCGTAGGACTTGTCCGCGGTCGTTCCCAGAAGCTCCACAAGAGCGTGCACAAACTTCGAGGTCTTGCCGAAGGGCTCAACCTGGATCAGGCCGAAGGGCTCGGCCTCCTTGTCCTCCGCAGGGATGTCAAAACCGTCCCAGACTTCTTGTCCAGGCTGCCGATGAGCAGGCGATCCGCTCACCTGCAGTGAAACCACCAGGGCGATGATCAGGTAGATCAAGGCCGTGGTGCCAGGGACCTCGCGGTCAGGGCGAGGGAGTGGCCTAGGCCACTCAGTCAGCGCGGGCGCAATGGCGTGCCCTGAACAATCAGGGCTCCGCTACCAAATTTGGCAGCACACTTTTGTTGCTTGATCCCAAGGGTACCCTGCGGGGACGTCATGTCCATGTGAAACTAAACTCGCTGATTTGGGGGGTTCTCAAATGGTGGAGCCCCTTTTGGCTGGCATTTAAAGGGAAACCAAAAGAAACCAACCCCCGGAGGAGTGCCTCATTTTGAGAAACACCCATTTGGAGCTTGCGTCTTGGCCCAAAATCTGGTGCAGTCGCCAGAATAAGATTTTCTGACTCTAGTCCATGGTCTACATGAAAAATGCAATCTCTGTTGGGAGAGCCAACAGACCCATCCAGTGCCCGACCGTTGTTTTGACAAGAACCTCCGGTCGGAGGGTGCAGTCGGTGTTGGGTATCTTCCCACAAGGGACACAGTTGGACTACCTGGCATTTGGTTCAACCCCGGTCTGTGGCCCATAATTGTGTTTTTCAGCATTTGCGTATGAAATTCACATGAAGCCCGTATTCGTCCAACATGCTGTTGAACAAAATGCGCAAAAAACACCGTATGACCATTCAAAGGCAACCACCAAAAACAACAACGGCCATAGTGGGTGCCAGGTAACCTTACGCATTGAGCTGACCGCCTGCTTTTCCGCCGATTGCCGAAGGCATTGGCCTTGCGGGTTGAAAAATGCCCCCACATAATATGTAACTGGGTGTTTCTCAGAAGGCCCCTGCTTCCTTTGGCTTGAAAAATCAATCCAGGACCCCTACTAACAGAAACACCCACGTAAAAGTCAAAATTCAATACACCCCACAAAATCCATGTCTCTATGTGCGGTACAAGTGACCCCCGAAACACTCACGTGTGCCTTTGGATCAGGGCCCAATTGTTTTTCTTGTTGGTTTGATAATAATAATAATGATAATAATAATAATTTCCCAAAAAAAAAGAAACAAAATAAGAAACACAAAAGGGGGGAAACCCCTCAACAAAAAACTAAAAAAACTAAATAAAACACAGAGAAAACAGCAAAAAGCAAAAAAACACAAAAACAACAAGAGGAACCACCCACAAAAATATAAATCTCTCTCTCTCTCTCTCGCACATCTCAGAGTCTCAGGTTTTGAGGATCCGGCCACTTTCTTGCCCTTGAGGTTCACGGGCTTCCCCTCGTTGTCCTTGACGACGCCCAGGAACTGGCCGTTGCCCCAGAAGGCCAAGGAGCCTCGGCGTGCCCAAAAGCTGGGCGCTGGACGAGGTGGAAGGGGAGCAAACATGTTTTTTTTGTGTGTGTATATAATATATATAGCAGCTAAGTGGATTTGGAGTTCAACCACTCAACCACAATGAGATCAAACATGGAAATTGTTTCCCAACAACAACCATGAAAGACCCGGAGCATCCCGGAGCATCTGGCAATCTGTAGCTGCAGAGTTGCAGAGTTGCCGTCGCAAGTGGACATGTAAGAACTGTCTGGGGCAGAACCCCCTGAAACAGTTTGGGCTCGGAAATACAAGGTTGACCTTTTGGGACCTTTACTAAGCATGGACCAAAAGGGGGAAATCATAAGGTTAAAAGGTTGGCTTTGGACAACTGAGTAGAGATGCTTCCCCCGGACGGCTCTCGGATTTTTTTTCGCCTGGCTTCAGCGGCGCTTCCTTGCAAAGCTTCCCTTGCCAAGACATGGGAGCCCATTCTTTGAGCAAATACCAACATGCGGCCCACTTTGTATACAGTGCCGATATGGCTGTGGCTCAAAAAAAAAACGGTACCAATATGGAACCCTGGTAAGTGGAAACATGCACCAAAACCTGCGGTTTGCCCCTCCTGTTTAATTTTGAGCCACACCCAATATGGTGGAGGGATATCCCATGAAACCTTTGGGGAACATCCCAATCCCCACTAAAATGGACTAATATATGCTTTTGCACCTACCCCACAATGGTACCAAAACGGTTTTGACCCACAGCCATATCCATTCAACCTTTGGGGTGGCGGCTTGGGGGTAGTGGAAGGATCACCCACAGAGACTCTGAGGCGGCGGCCATCGTCCATGTCGACGTCGATGCCCACCACCGTGCCTCGTCAGCCACTGGGTGCGGCTCCGATGCACGTGGGCGTTGCTGCTAGGTCCTTGGGGTACCAAGTTCTTGCTGTATTCTATGTTAGTAAGGGAACCCTAGGGCTACCAACTTTTTGCTGTAGTCTACTTTCGGGGAACCCAGTAGTGGCTTTGATGGGAACCAAGAGGAACAACCACTGCACAACAAGGGGGATCCCGGAGAAAAAAAACAAAAAAAAATCATCTAGGTCCTCCAGATTTGAGAGGTTAGAATAAGGCTACAACCCTTTTTTGTCTGTAGTCTACTTTAGCAGGGGAACCCTCCCAACCAAAAAAGGGGTGAGAGGTCGGGCACCTAGCTGGGGGACCTAGGCATACCTAGGCTGTCAACATAGGGTAAGCCCCCAAAAGGGCAACGGGGTGCTTCCGGCGTCCCTTTCAAGCCATCCAAAAAGGGCGCCCACACAAAGATAAATCAGGAGGTGGATTCGAATCTCCCAAGACCTGTTTGGTTGAACATGGTTCACCCCCGGATCAAGAACCATGCACCCCAGCCTTGGTTGAGATGTTCAAGCGCATTGGGTGAGCGAAGTGCCTCAAGGGTCCACTGTTTTTTTTTCACAAGCAGAAGCCCGGGTCGAGCATTGAATGACCAAAGCCCAGGTCAGTCTTCAGTGACCCTGAAAACAAAGTGCGGGGGCGGACCATTTTTGGCGGGGAAGCCACCAAAACAAGACTGGGGCTTTCCAAAAATAGCCAACAAAGTTCCATGAACTGTTCGAAAATTCTTGACAACCCCCCCCGCCACATGCAGCCTTTTGCGTGGGAGAAAGACCCTCCAATCCCCTCCAAATTCTGGATTTCCATCGACCTTGAGGCACGGGAACATGGGGGGAGGGGCGGAAATGATTTTTGTGTGCCTCAATTGCGAGAAACTCGAACTTTCGGGAATCTACACGTGGGCATCAAAAAGAAACGTCGAATGATGTGACCCAAAAAAGGTCCCTGACCCACGCGACCCTGACCCACCCGACCCACGTCCCGGCCTTTCTGGAAAGGCGGCCAGTAGTCATCCGCCAGCATGCCCACGTGAGTGCCGGGGCCCTGAGAACGGGACCGGTTGAACCTCTCACATGGCTGTTTGCAGGGGTCCTACGGTGGATGGCCGAAATCCAATTCGCAACACCTAAGAAACCCTGGAATGAGGATTCCCCTGTAAATACCAACAAACAATGGTGCGCCATGGTTTCAAAGTGGTGCAGGATTTCGTCCATCCACAGCATCTGTCAGACACTCTTGTTTCAACAACCTTCTTTTTTGGTTTTAGTCTATGGTCTCACTGCGGAAAGCAGCAAGTGTTGCCCAAACAAAGGAGCCGATTGAAATATGGCCTTTTTGTGATCGGGAGCTCCACAAAGGTTCCTTGCCCGAAAAGTAGACTCCGTTTAACCCAGTGTGTTTGGAGTTCCGTGTTGATGCGCGTCCCGAGTCATGTGCGAGACATCTGAGATCGCCGCAGTCCACAAGTCCTTGATGTTGCGGTACCACTGATCATCCTGAGAATCTCTGCAAAACCGGAGGCAGGCACCCAAAGAACGAGATACCCTCCCACCCTTTTCACATGAAACCTGACGTTCGGGGAAGTGGTCCTGGTTTAGACCAGTTTCCTTTCAAAGGAATCGGGTCCCGAACGTTCGGTTCCATTTAGAAATGGGCCATGATATCACCTGGTGACCTCGTCGGCCGTCGGCCGCTCCCAAGGAGCGTGAAGCAGACTCAAGGGACCAGGGCCCTAAAAAGAATCGACGTGATCAATGATGCCGCCTTGATTTCCCCAGCGGCCAAAAGGCCAACCCTGAAAAAGGCACCCTGGCCATGTTGCCCGGTTGGGTAAGTTCTAGGGAAAATTCACTGTGACTTGCGTCGCCAGGCGTCATGAGCTGACTAGCAGCCAAAGTCCCACCAGCCAGTCTCTCTTCCATACATCAGACCATCATTTCTCTTGTACCTACCGGCAAACATGCTTGCGGAGGGGCCTTTTCCTGGCTCAATATCTTGCTTGGGTGTAAACGGATTCCTGTCTGCTGCTATGCATGCTCACTTTGTGCAAGCAATCGTAATCCGTTTGGAACCCATCCGGATGCGCAACGGCGACTTGGATTCACGGCCTCCAAACAGTTACTCTCAACACCAGATTATACACCTCGCCCGGACTCAGGGATGGTGTTCCCTGCCCAAAAGGGCCAAGGAATCCCTCGGAGGGGGATGCCAAGCTTCCAAGACCTTCTTGTCAAACAGCCCCAGCTTGACCTCGGCGCGGCGCCGAAAACAAAAAGAGAAAAAAGAAAAACAAAAAACGAGCACCTTCTCTCGAGGGACAGAAGTCGGCCGAGCACCCGTGGCAAATACAAATATTACAATATGGCCGTGGGTCAAAATCCTGTACCCCCAGTAAACATCCCAATCCCCACTAAAATAGACTAATATGTATGGTGCCTACCCCAAAATGGTACCATTGGTTTTGACCCACACCCATATGTGAGTCGCGATTGGCACATTTCAGCGCCCATGTCACCCTGAACTTCAGCCTCCCGAGAATCAGCGGCTAGCCGCGCAGTGCAAGCGCCGGTTTGCCTTTCTGTTTTTTCCGGCAGCAGCGCCGCGAACTTGCAACGCGGGCAAATTTTGGGCGGGCGCGCGAGGCGCTTTCCGAGCCGACTTTGGGGCCCTTTGAAGAAGTCCTGGCATCACATGTCAGGGCGGTTGGCTGGCTTTTGGCTGGGCTTGGCTGGCTTTTTGGCTGGCTTTTGGCTGGGTTTGGCTGAGAAGACCCCAAAAACAAAAAGGAACCCTATCAGCCCACAAAACGCATCATTAGCTGCTATTGACCTATTAGTTGCTATTGGCCCCTATTGGGATTGGGGGGCCCTCTTACAAACCCCCCCTTTACAACCATTACACAACATGTTTGTGGGACACAACCCGAAATCTGTGATACAAGAGTGATTCCCCTCTCCATGACAACTTCATCACCTCAGATGCCCAGCGGCCAGGGGAAAAACGGCATCCTTTTGTTGGTCGATTGAGATTAAAGGGAAACAAACGCGCCACTGGGCAACTGGGTCACTTAGCAGGAGAATCAGTTGTCACAGAAACTGGCAACCTCAAACCCTATGTTCTGTGGCCTCCAAGCTGGGCGATGCAATTGAAGTACTGTCCACAGGTTGCTCCCACATGGCATGGGAGGATACCTGGATATCTGGACCAATTCAGAAAACACATTCGCGTTTCTTATGTTGATGCCCAACACAAGCTCGCCCCACGCCCTGGCTGGAAGCGGTATACTCAGTAGAGGTAGCCAGGCGCCAGGGATGTTTGCCGCTCAGCTGTAGGACCACGGCCTCGACCTCCGGCGAGTCGCCTTCGAGTCGAATGCTCCGGCGGCCTTCCGATCAGGTTGGGTTCCGCTCAGCCGTGCTGCCGGCGGGCGGCGGTTTTAGGACCTGGCAGCGGGGCTCGGGCAAGATGCGGGCTGTGTCTATGAGAACCTCTCAGAATGAGGGGTCCCTCAAGCTTCCTTTTGCCTCAAGCAACACAACAGAGGGTACTCTTCAAAAGAAACACGCTCACACGGCAAGGGTAATGCTGACCCCATAATAATCAACCCCTCTGTGTTAATAGGGAATCAAACCGCTTTCGGAGGGACCAAAACCCGCCTCCTTAAACTAAACTGGTTGGTTGAGATTCACATGGGGTCAACATTACAGTTTGGCATGGAACCCCCAAAAACCCCGGCCATCTTTTAGAGGCAGCTCCTTTTGAGGGTGAATTTGAAGGGACGACCCACCCAGAAAAAACTCCCCCGAACTCTCGTCGGCATTCTTCATGCGACCGCGCCCAAGCCGAGTGGCTCTCGAGGTCGAACTCACCATCCCCAGCCATCGTCGCCCCAGCCATCCTCGCCCCAGTCATCGTCGCCCCACTCGTCGCCCCACTCCTGGCGCCATCGGCGAATTCGGCGAAATCGGCGAAATCGGCAAAATCCAACCAGACCCTGGAGTCATAAAAGAATAAACGCAGTTACCCTGTTAACAAGGATTTCTTTTCTTTTTTATCTTCGGTAGAGGGGGGGCGGAATCATTTTTAGGGGATGGGACTATAATAAAGGGAAACCAGGTAGCGTTTTAACATGTATTGAAGCAAGGGGCTGACCATAGGTGTCCTTTTAGGGGAAATAGATGGCCCTGGAATAAACCACCAGGCAAACCAGGGCCATCTATTTTTCTTAACCAAAACAACCAAAAAGGACACCTATGGAGCTGACTCGTCCCACCCTCCTCGCCCCACTCATCGCCCCACTCGTCCCAGTCGTCTTGGCCAGAACTCCACTTCTGCGACCACTCGGCGACCATTCGGTCCTTGGCATGGCTGGCCTTTCTGAAGCCGCCAAGCCGCCAAGCCTTCCATTTGCTTAAGTGCCCTAGATGTTTCCTCTAGAAAAACACATGAAACAACCCAAAAAACAACCAACCTAATAAATAACACACATTCTTAAGCGCATGGAAGAAGCCTGTAAAATTGTCTGCACTACTTCCTGTAAATCAGCAATCCATCAACTGATCCTCTCAAATACGCCGCCCTATGGCCCCAAGCACCTTCAGTTTTGGTCTATTTTAGCTGCTCCGAGAGGGAGTCTGTGGGGGCAGGTGGTGTGTTTTGGCAGTTCTCGAGAAACTAAGGAACACGCCAAGCCAGCAAAACTGGCAGGCGCACGGAAACACGAAGCACGAAAACAGTAAAGCTAAGCAAAGAACGAACACCGAGTGGAAAAATGCCACAACGCAAACGATGAACATTGGGCTCATTCACCACCCCCAAAAAAATAGCAGGGAAATCCTGGATTAAATATGGTTTTGGTTGTAAAGTACCCCACAGCCCCATTCCAACCTGAATTGTCACGGGTTCAACTGGGAGCTTCCCAAAATAGTCTTTCAAAATAGTGGTCCCCTAAAACAGGCCGCAAGCCTCTCTGAGAAACTCGTAATTGAGCTGGTTCAATAATTTACCACCTTTTTGCCTGCTGATTTAGAGGATCCGATCCGAATTACCATTTGGAAGCTTCAAGCATCACCATACGGCTGTCTTTTTTGACGGGGTCCTCCAGTAGAGAGGTGCGAATAAGGGTACCAACTTTTTGTGTGTGTTCTCGGTTTTGTCTATTTTAGTAGGGGACCCCTCCCAACCAAAACAGGGATGAGAAAGGGCACTACTGGGGGACCTAGTTGAGGTTCGGATGGTTCAAATGGTTCAATCGCCACATCCCATCCCGCGATGGGCCCAAGCCAAGCCACGTGGCGCGCCCGGATGTGTGGCAGGCCCCGCGGCTCCCTAGGCGCAGGGTGGCCGCTTCTGCCACTCCCCAACCGCCCAAGTCTGCTATACCGTGGTGCTTCCAAGAAAGGTCATGACAAACTGAGATGGCCGGCTAACCAGTAAAATATGTGAGATATGTATATATATATATACAGTATACACATATATCTGCATGTAGATGGTCACTCCCCCTCCCGAGCATGTGGATATTTATATGTATGTATAAAGATGTGTATATATGTATATATATATATATATACAGTATACACATATATCTGTATGTAGATGGTCACCCCCCCCCGCCCGAGCATGTGGTTATTTAAATATATGCATGAAGATATGTATACATATATGTATATATATACATATATATATATGTATACATCTATGCATATATATATACATGTACTAGGCTCCAATTTTCTGGTGGAATCCCTGACCCTTCGCCGCGCCGCTCGCGGGCAGCTGCGAGGGCGCCAGAAGCCGCCGCCTGCCGCACAGAGCGGTCCGGCAGCCACCAGGGGGCAGCGGGAGGATCCCGGCCAGGGGCCTCGGCGCACGCCCAAGGGCAATCCATATGGTTGCTGGTTGTTGGGTTGTTGGGTTGTTGGTTGTTGGTTGTGGTGGTTGGTGGTTGGTGGTTGGTGGTTGGTTGTTGGTTGTTGGTTGCTTGTTGGTTGTTGGTGGTTGGTGGTTGGTGGTTGCTGCTTGGTTGTTGGTTGTTGATTGTTGGTTGTTGGTTGTTGGCTGTTGGCTGTTGGTGGTTGGTGGTTGGTGGTTGGTTGTTGGTTGGTGGTTGGTTGCTTGTTGGTTGTTGGTTGGCTGGCTGGTTGGCTGGCTGGCTGGCTGGCTGGCTGGCTGTTGGTTGTTGGTTGGTTGCTTGGTTGTTGGTTGGTTGTCGGTTGTTGGTTGTTGGTCATTGGTTGTTGGTTGTTGGGTTGCTGGTTTTTGGTTGTTGTTTGCGGGTTGTTGGTTGTTGGTTGTGGGTTGTTGGATCGCTGGCTTTTGGTGGTTGGCTGTTTGCAATGGTCAAAACCCCTTGCTCCTGTTCGGACATGCTTGTGTCAGTGGCGGCGCTGCGGCGTCCTCTGGCGACAACAAAGGGCCTCAGCCTTAAAACAAGTGTAGCCCTCTTTCACCTGGGTCCTGGTTGCCCGGTCTGCTTCGGCCACCGGCAACTCGCGTGCATCCTTGGGATACCGCGTCCTCGGTCACAGTTTTTCCTATTTTTGATACTGTGACGACCCAGGCTATCTATGCGCTGGTCGCAGGGGAACAAAAGCTCACCAGAATGCGCCGCAAATCGCGGCTGTGAGCAAGCCGTGGTCATGGTTCCCTTAGGAACCTTTACGTTTGTCGAACATATTTTCATCGAGTGGTTGATACCATTCCTACCAACCTCAAAAGGGGTCAACGTCATTTTTCCGAATCTGTGAGTTCACAAAAGGTTTTGTTCAGCCCGCAACATTCTTTGCAAACCGATAATTACAAGACTGCCAGTTCCATTGAACTGGTCAGGAAACCTGCCCCTAAAATTCCAATAGTTTTGGAGACCGGCAGCACTTCGTGCCTCTTCAAACATCGCCCTCTCAAAAAAGAACACCCTTTTGGCATCGAAGGGCCCTTTTTGGAAAAGTGGCCCCATGGCGTAGCCACTCAAGCAAGTAGAATCAAGCCTTGCGCAAGTCACATTGTACCCTCTCTTCCCGGCCCTGCAAAAACCTTCTGCCAAAGTCAGTGCAGACGCCGGGTCTGTCTCATTCTGGGGGGAACTCATCAAATAAACAATCAGATTTTCCTTTGGTTCCCCAAACACTGTGTTTCCAAGGCTGCTTGCCGGAAAAAGGATATCCTTTCCCCGCGAAAAAAAAAAAAAAACTGCTCTAAGACGTGCCTTGGGGTTCCTTCCGAACGAAAACCAAACCCCTCCCAAAGGC